AAGTCATGTCACTGTCGTATCTCTTAATTAATCTTCACAGCTGCCGTAGTCCACTGCTATTCAGTCAGCTGTGGGACTTCAATTAATAATGCTGTTGCTTGTCCGCTAGAAATTAGAAGATGTCTAGTTCGGATTAAGTTTCTTTTTCAAGGAAACACCACTTTTTCAGAACTCTCCGTATATGCTGGAAACCTTTAATGAAATACCGAAAGTTGTAGATAAGCTTCAGTTATTTTCCAGGATAGTTTAAATTCCGATTCACATCGAATCGAATTCCTGGCTCTCTAAGATGTCCAGTGTTCCACGGGTTTGAATTTTCCGTTGCTCTTATCATTGAGTTCACCTGGAATCGCAGTTCTGCGGAATAACTTAGCGTCATTTCGTACTTTGCAATCTTCCTTTTAGTGCACAATTTGAATTACCACCTTGTTCCCTTTGCTTATTATTATTGCTTATTATATTAAAGCCTGTTGTAAAAGAATATTCCTCTAATTAATGGCATATAAGCATAGATACGGTAGGTAAGAACGGACAGCAATACATTGACTTATCTCAAATTGTTTTTTTCTATTTGACTGAATCTCGAGTGATGGAAAGTTAAGCAAGGCCCAGTGCCAAAGATCAACCCCGGCACGGCACTACTTCATGTCTGTCACTTTGCAAAACCTGAGAACCAAGCCATCATAACACTGGACAAACAGTAGTTTTTCGTAATACTGACGTGTGAATTCTTAGCAGATGCGAACAAATGAAAATCTTGAAAATCTAAGAAGGTAACCTTCACACCTTCTCTATAAGAACCCAACGAGCTACTCGTGAGGGTTCCCTCTCCTAAGCATGCAACCCTACTTACGACTATCCTCTCACAAAGAACAATAAACGTAAAATGAGTTGTATCAAAAGTGTTAAGCTTCGTTCTTTTCATTCGAAAGAGCGAAGCTTATTGGGCAGCGCTGACATGCAACGGAAATGAAGAGAATACCCTCTTGAGTTACCCAGTAATTACGGTATTAGGACTGATATCTTCCCCATACTGACATTTATAGCAGTCTTTGTTGTCGATACTAATCCTCTGCTGCTCCCTTCCTCTACGGTCTCATGTGTGTCGTATGTCATCCACTTTAGCTGTTTAGCAATTTATCGTAGATGATTTACGTATAGCTCCATCCAATGGCTCCACACCAAGCAATGTATAGATGAAATGGATAATTCTGTACACAAATAGTTCCATTAAGCTCACAGCATATTTTCTGAGAAAACAGGCGCTTGTTGTTTTTAGCAACTTAAGCATTCTAAATGAAGGCGGTTTTTTTCATGCATTGAATATTCTTCACAAGCGGACAACACGTTTTATTTATGTCAATAAATCGTTGTGTAACATCTCAGGTGTGGCAGCACACCTTCATTTGTTCAGCGTTGCATTGTCGGTTTGGTGTAGCGCCAGCAACGCCAATTAATCGAAACAAAACGCCAGCGCTCCGCTTGACGATGTTTGGAATTTAGCACTAAACCACGTGAATTCACAAAAACAGCCATCACGCTACCGTATCTGTTTCATTGTGAATTTAGTGGATTCTGAGGATTGTTAACTCTTTCTTCAAACTTTCTGCTCCCTACCTACAAATGGTGCTGCGCAATTTTTACGTCAATAAAACTGAAATTAAGGAAAAATGTTGTGATAGAAAAGCGTAATTCAACTGCAATTTAAACGCAGATATACGAATTGAGCTTTTTCAGTTTCCGACATGTGTATGAAGGCACCTAACTCTACTAGTAAGAACATTTCTCTTTAATCTTGCCTTTTCCATCTTACCAGATATTTTAATTATAACAACAGTAACTCCCACGTCCGACTTTCCATTAACCTCGGCATTAACTGAATAATTCTTTCTACTTCTGTTCAGCAAACACGAGGTGTTATTTTATTTTTTATTTGCGTGCAAATTGACGTTTCGGTTGATTTCGCCTTCCTCGCTTATAACAACAGTTTTCGTCTGTCTTCGTGAATTAGTTCTAGAGGAAAAATGAAAAATTACTAGAAGGACTTTGGGTCTCAGGGGCCAGTTTTTCAAAGCCAAATCGACTACATTCCCCAAAATAACCTTCACCTATTAAACCTAGTTGCTTCTACAAAAAATGTATGCATCTTATTTGACTTTTATTTACCATCTATTCTTTTTTCACTGCAGGATATTATGTGAAACCACAAGGGTGCTGAAATTTGAGCAAAATCCGAAACCTCAGATGGTCTTTGAACCCGCGATTAGTCCTTCAGGAGGCTCACGTGTCATCCACCACACCATCCGAGAGTCTTGTTTTGTCTTCCTCTCAGCTAGCTTTTTGCCCTGCTTTTTAATTCTTTTTTCACTCTTTACTTTCCTTTGTGTACTTTGCCTCCCAACGGTTTACCACTGGCTGGGAGGTGTTCCTGGGTGTCGGACTATAATGTACAGCGGGTGCATTCATTCCCCTATAGAGCCTCCATGCTGAGAAGGAGCCCGGCGTTTTCATCAAAAAACCAGCTAAGAGTGAACCAATAACAGGATCCACCACCGTTCCGGTATCAACCTAATGGAATGGTGACAAATCTCCCTCTTATCCACAAGTGTGACGACTGCCTGTGGTGGTGACGACATGAGGCAGACTTTGACAATGCTGACCTCGAGACCGCAGCTAACCACAGTAACTAAACCAGCAAAAGTCCGAAAAATGGAGAATATGCTGGGGCCTGCACAACCAGTGAGGATGGGCCATCCAAGTATACAAGTGAGTAATATAGTATACAAGTATGCTTCGACAAAGGTTTTCCTTCATACAGGGCTCCAGAAAGCCTTGGTTTGTGTTCTGTGTTCTCCTGCGTAATGCTTAAAGTCCCATAGAGTTAGGTTCTACTTGGAAAGAGTGATGAGTGGAGTTTATTTCATTAGCTTTGAAGTCTGTTGTCCTATAATTTCACTTGTCGGCCGGCTTTTAGGAGTGATGGACGGGACGTTGTACTTTATTTCGATGACGAAAGTGTTATTCTGTAACATGTATGTGTTGCTCTACGCATTCTAAATTTTCATCGTTCTTGACAGACGACACACTCACAAAGTGATGGCTGCTGCACTTTCGACGTGTTGACGTGTAAGACTCTTCATTCCGCGATTCTACTATATCTTACGATTCCTTAGACTTACTTGCGTAAACTAACGCGGGGATTGTGGCCATCGGAGAGGTGACGTGAGATGATCTTCTCCGAATCTTCAGTCCTGAACTTCCATCAGGTGCGACTTGTCGGTGGACAACTATCAAATGGATAGAGAAGAGCAGATCGCTTAGTAGTGAAAACGTACTATTGAGTTGTTAACAAATAGAAACATAAGAGCAGCTCTTGAAAATGTAAAAAAACTAGAATGACGTGGTGCCAACAACACAGCTCGAGTGACGTGACTCTAAGAAGAATTCGTAGCTTTTTCTCATTCCCTCTTAGTCACCTTTGGCGTCATAAACTGTAGAAACAACTCTCTTTCTCTCTGAATGACGATGAAGCTCACTTAGCTTTTAATCGGTTTTCCCATCAGATTTGTGGTCAGATGTGTGTTTATGTGAGTTGAGCGTTTCGACCCCGATGCAGTTTTTATATCTGCATTTGACGCTCGACAATGTGTAAACAGATTAATGATCGCTAGCATCATTCATCATCAACGAAGGAAGAATCAGTGCTGCTGTGCATGTACTCGTGACTACTCCTGCCGCCCTTTCAGATTGTGTTGTTGGCATGCGTCCGGACATTTTCGGACGAAACACATCCGGCCTCTATTCTTTCGGATTCTTCAGTGAAACATGCCAGTTTATGAGCCATCAATGTTTAATTGAGAATTTCAAACACCGAGTGAGGGTGTATAGTGAGTGCATGGAGTACAGCGCTGCTAACACTGCTGAAAGAGGACGATGAGGGGTGCACCTATATGAGTAACGACGAACTCACTTTCTTCGTTATCGATGACCCTTCAGTACAGTACGGTAGCGAATGAAATTGTGCGGTAGTTTTCTCTCCCACTTTTTTCTATGTAGTTATTTCTCAAATAAATCTAGCGTTTTCACAAGTTGAAAAGAGTTTTAAAGGTAGCTAATCCAGCTTCACATAATATTTCGTTCGACTTGCAACACTTCTACTCGGGTTCGTCGTTTCACGCTCGTCAACCACGAAAGTTTTCGGATGTTTGCGGATTTGTTTGGCTCCATTTGAGGACTTTACCGTCCTTATTAATGCCGCTAAATAGTAGTCGAACCTCTCCGCGGAGAATTCTTGTAGTAATCCATTAACCCCGAAGAAATTGAAAGGTTGGTTGGCACAGTGCGGGATCGAACCAGCTACCATACATGAATTGCACAACGTGTTTATCAATGAACTAAGAAGATGAAATGTGATTTGAGAAGATTAAAACATAAATGTGGAATGTATATAATGTACAAATGTACAAAGTTGGAAACAATTAGCGAAGCCAGAAAGTCTCCTTTTTTAAATTTTTTTAAATTTTAATGAATTCACTTCAAATTAGCCCACATTTTTTCTAAATTCAGGACGCTGTGACTTCCTGCTTTGCGGTCCTTTTGTTTTCTAAGCGCTTTCATATTACTTTTAATCTCATCGAAAGTGTTGAAATTTCATTTTATCGGTGATATTACGACCTCAAGAAAAGGTTGTACGGCAATTTTAATTCCGTCTGAAATATCTGTGTGTGGAGGGACTGAAGAAGATCTTCACGATGTGACAGGAACGCTTGAATGTTCAGCGACTTTCAAATCACTTTTTTGCATTGATGGTCTTTCCTATAGAGCTTTTTTAGAAATTTCTTGGTCATGTCAGGTCCAATCCGTTTTTGCCACTGTGCGTATCTCTTTCATGCCACTTAGATAAAAAAATTATCTGAATCACACCAATATACCGTACCCGCAAAGGCTGCATCTCCTTTTAGGGTTGGATTTCTTGTTATCCGAAGAAATCGGTACATTTTCAGAAAGCAGAACAAAAGGAAAAAGAGAAGCGACAACGTGAACGGCTACGAAGCCTTGAAATTCAACGCGACAAACTACACAAAGCCGCTTGGTGAGCTCTAAATTTACATTACTGATGTTCTTTCTTGAATAACAACCGTCGAATCTTTCTACTATTACGAAGGGAAAAGAAACCGAACAGACTCGAAATTACAACAACTGCTGCCAGAGCACAGGTCACAAAGAAAGGAAACCTCAAAGTAGTGGACGAAATTATTTCCTCGCATAAGGAAGTTAGCAAGAAATTTATGATTGATTCCGACTTATTCATTTCATCTTCGAACCTGGTTGTCAACAATGACAATTCGAGTGCTACTGATAGCATCGTTTATTGACATGAGGTCGACACATGGCAATTTTTTCTGGGAGAATAAGCTTCTATTAGGGTTTCTGGGTTCCTTCCTTACTTAACTATTCAACCCTCCTTCTGCTTTAAAATCTAAAGTAATCGAAGCTTCCGCAACACATTATAGACGATCTTCATTGCACACAATCACGTGTGTTCGAGATGAATTGCGTACCTCAAGTTTAAACACACTTTTTAACTCATAGTGAACTTTTCGAAATAGAAACTAAAAAAATCTGCAGGTCTTTTCAAGCAACGACAAATCCCCTTTTTCTATAAAAGCAAAATCTTAGTTTTCTATAGCAGACGGTGGATAGCACAGTGGTGGTGATGTCCGTCATCACGACCATGGTGCCAGTTCGATTCCTATTCCATTTCCGATTTTAAAGTAAATAATGGTAAATTATTTTTATACCAGAATTAACGACTCTTCTTCGCTTTTCTCGGCCTATCTCTAACGTCGAAGAGATTAAACAGTGGGGATTTTGTAAAATAGGGCAACGTGGCGTCCCTCAATGTGTGCTAATGCTCCGGTATTTGCGTTAGCAGTGCTAAAATTATAATTTTTAATTTTGAATTTTCAATTTTTTATAAATTTTTTTGTTTTTCTCATAGATATAGACTTCAAATGGATTTAAAATCGAGCGGCACGACCAAAAAATTATGTACCCAAAGGAATAGAAGAATGTTTCTTCTATGAGACCATCAAATCTTCAACTCCATAACTACCATAGTTTTCCTAAAATTGCTGGCATTTGTCAAAAATTCAGTGTGAGCCCTTGTATGGTAAGGAGAACCTGAGACCATAATTGAAACGATGAACATTCTCTTAAGTGATTGACATCGCTGCTCAGTTGTTAAGTGTGGCCTTCGTTCGACAGCATTGTGAAGATGTGTCGGAAATCCTTTGGTGAGACTTTTGCTCTTTTTCTGCAACAGCGGCTTGTCATGAGCAACGCCAGAGAGCGCCCTAGGGAGTGCAAAATCCACCAGTGTGCATTAACAATATTGATAAAGCGCATGTTGCCCCAATAAGGCTAACAATAAGAGGAACGGGAAAGAAGTATGAAAATTTCAGCCTCTTCATACTGCTGTTCATATAGATCGAACGAGTAAAACTATGAGGAAGGAAAAATCCTGGGTGTTGTACTTAGTTAGAAAATGAAATAGTTTGTATATCATTAGCAACCACCGAATATCACAGTGTCTGTAGGTTTTTGTTTGAATGAGTTCTTGAACAAGTCATGAAAAGTAACTGCGTATAGTCGCAATACTTTGCTGATTTAAATAGAAGATCTTTATTATCTACCAAAGAATTTACGGTGTTTACGGTGTGACATATGTATTCCACAAGTGGGTTCATAAACCCTGTGTATGTGTACACGTGATCCGATTGATAGCTTAGAAATAGCTTGCTAATTGACAGATGAGTGAATATTTTGTCGTTAGTACGAGATACTATCAATGATTGATCGAAGTGGAGTTGATAAGTGATTTGGGTGTTTTGTGATGTCCTCGAACCAACGTCTGCCTGCCGATGTTGAACGTCCGAATTCATTAATCACATGAAGAGGTTACATTAAATAATCAGCGGTATATAATATATATATATATTTATTTTTGTTGTATTTGTTTATGCGACCCGAGTTCACATACTGTGCGGATCCCGTCACTTCTTTAATTCGGTTCATTGTCTCGTAAACGTCATCCACAATGGTTTTCAGACTTACGTGTGCGTTCGGTCGCCACTTGAGAGCATTGTTCTCTTCATAAACGACACTAAATGCTAATCGAGGTGATCCTCTCTGGAATTCTTGGATGGCCGTGCTAGAGTTTTCCACGGTCTTCACTAAAGACGCATCCGTCGGCCCTCTTCAGATCGAATGGAGCTTTTCCTGCAGAGTTTGGTAGCAATTGGCTAACGCTTGACTAATAGCCGGCTTCTTAGACCCAGCCCGATGTGAAGCCAGCCACCGTGCTAGTATTATTCTTCAGAATCTCCTGCTGATGCGAATCCGAACTCCAATAGAAAAAGATAAACCTCTCTGTTTTGATCAGTCGCTGAGGGATGTGCTATCTATTCGACTTCATTAAGCATCGTTTGGAGGTGACTGAATGCATATCTGGCTTTTACAATGACATGCAGTAGCCTAGCGATGTGTCGAACCAGTACTGCTATTCTCCTAGAGAAGTCTGGTACCAAATTCTCGACCCCGGAGGGATAGAGGGCTTGGTGGGCCATGGGCGCGAAGATCGATTCCACGTGTGTGTTGCAGGACGTCTCCGACCATTGTGCCACATACGCGCTCCGAACCCCAGTATATTTATATACTCTCTATTTGTCATTGTTTAGTTTGAAATCAATGTGTGAAACCATTAGGAAGGCCAATATAAATGCATCTGACATTTTTCAAACCTTACATGGTTGAGGAATTCGCTTCCTAAGTGAAAGTGGTCGATTGTTTTTTTTTCAGCGTTGAAGAAAGCGTCCTGTAAATAAACCTGATGGAAATGTATTTGACATTTGACAGAAATTGCATGCTTGAGAAATTCGTTTCCCAAGTGAGAGTGGACGAATTCTACGTTGAAGAAAACGTCCTTTAGGAGAACTAGCACAAATATGTCTAACATTTGTTAGAATTTGCATGCTTGAGGAATTCGTATTCTACGTGACGGAAATCGATTTTTCTTCCCAGAAAATATCCATTAGTGCGTCCACAGATATGACAATGAACACGTACATGCTAAACTAATGCAAGAAGCAAACATACATCACCGTCGGCGAGAAAGTTGTAGAGTTGTCCTTTGAGAATGGAACGTGCAGAAAGTAAAAAAAGAACGAATCGGCTCAGACGAATGCCCCATCGATGATTTTTAAATAAATTTTTTTATTTCAACAGCAAACTTACAAGAGGCTGCTACAAATCTTTCTCGTTTAGCTTCTCCTTTGTCCGCAGAGTCGCCAAGTCGAGTGTCGACAACACAGTTAGAGTTTCCAGCGGTGTCGTATTCACCGAGGCTACGTCCATGGGATCGGATCTTGAACAGCGTCTGAGAGAAAATGAAATAAACACCAAAATCTAACAGCAGATTTTCTTCATATTTTTGTTGAGCAAACGCGAGGTGTTACTATTCTTTGTTCACGATTAAGCTGACGTTTCGGCGGATTTCGCCTTCTTCAGAGCCTGGGTAGACCCCTCTGTGTCCGCATGAAAGAACACCTAGCCAGCAAAAATAGACCAAATACCCCGCTAGGCACGCATAGGACCCAGAGACATAACAGGGACGACTTCGAAGTATGTGTCACGATCCTCGCACGCGAATCAAGAACACAGGCGCGAAAAACTCTCGAGGCACTCTGGATTAATTCCAGAAATCCGAAAATGAACCGCAGGGAAGAATGCCTCATTATCACGCGTGATATAGGGCAGTATATAAAACTGCTTTTCTGATGTGAGGGGCACATTACACTTCCACGTGATTTCTGTGCGGTTGGTCTCTACGTGACATACTTAGTGGAAACCTCATAGAAAGCGGTGAGTGTGCAAAGCTGTGTTCAAAGTGATTGAAATCTTGGTTTGAAGTTTCTTTGTTTGGTTATGGAGGCGTCTGGCCGAGTGGATTGCTATCAACTTGACCTTTCCAGGCTCTGAAGAAGGCGAAATTCGCCGAAACGTCAGCTTAATCGTGAACAAAAAATAGTAACACCTCGCGTTTGCTCAACAAAAATACGAAGAAAATCACTTGATCAATGCCGAGGTTAATAGAAAGTCGGTCGTGGCAGTTTCTAACAGCAGAAGCAGATTTTGGAATAATCGTCATCGTATATGGTGTCATCGACGTGTTCATCAGAAGGCTCATTTCAGATTTAAAGCATTTCGGGAAGACTTTTTCAACGAGGTTTATCACATCTAAAATAATTCTCTATATTTCTCACTTGATAGCATGTATATCGCTTATTTCTGGAATTTAAACCTATCCTTCCACATTGAGATCAATAATTAAGCTACTGCTGCTGAATGATTCTTGTTAACAATTTAAATATTTTTCGCTCTTTACAAGTTCGCGTCAAATACTGCACGGATCCCAGCTGTTCTAGCATTTGATTCGTTTCCTTGCATCCTTCCGTTACGAATGTAGTCAATTGGTAGTCAAATCTATTTCGCCTGGAATCCTGAAATGCCCGTTCTGGGGCGTTCCCATATCTACATTACAGACTGATGACAGAACCTGTGGATTGCTGGAAACTAGCTGTTCCCAGACAAGATTGGCACCTATTTCCCTATTTTGGAGGGAGAAGGAATTCGTTGGCTTCCGCTGCGGTCAGAGCGTAGTGGTACCTATAATACGAAGAAGATCTTGGTTCAACTTGACCGTGGACTAGGAAGGCCTCCTAGCTCACCTAGATGACTAAAGTAATCGAATTTTTATCAATCTATCGATTTCTAATAGATTTCCTTAAAGAAACACCTTTTGCACGGACGAGGAGCGTTGTCTGCTTTTTGCTGCAGCTTTTCTTCCTTAGCGGATGCCTGTTGAATTAATTGCACGTGTCATCCGAAGTGCTTCTTAAGAAAAATCGTGTATTTTAAGAATTCTTAGAGTAAATTTGTTTGGATACTAACTACATCTGTTCGTGGACTCTTATCTGTGTGAAATTCTCAAATTTTGCTCTGATTCACAAAAAACTATAGCAGCTACTGCGGTCTG